TCGAACCTACGTCTGAGAGGATCCCAGTCGAACTAGCTGAGTGTGTGTTAATTATCAACTTTCTTACCGAAGAAACCATCATAAACTAAATACTCATAAACTCGATATATAAATAAAGATAATAGATAAGATAAAGATAGATAAACTAGATAGATAAACAAGATATTGAGGTTTGCTTAGCCTATCCCTCAAAGACAATGATATCTATCGATGCTGTGTGTGCAATGTTCAACAGATAGACTATTGAACCCTCCCCCCCCCCTCCCCCCAAAAAAGGTTAATATTTTGTGTTTTTTGGGCCATTTAATATCCTGGGCAACAACTGAAACAGCTTAATCATAACTCCAATCTGTACTAGGCCTAAACAACCAATCCTAAGCCTAACATGCGCAATCGTATGTATGATTGTATGATTTAGTACACACATGTGTACTATACCAGGCCTATGAATATTGAGAGAGAGAGAGAGAGAGAGAGAGAGAGAGAGAGAGAGAGAGAGAGAGAGAGAGAGAGAGAGAGAGAGAGAGAGAGAGAGAGAGAGAGAGAGAGAGAGAGAGAGAGAGAGAGAGAGAGAGAGAGAGAGAGAGAGAGAGAGAGAGAGAGAGAGAGAGAGAGAGAGAGAGAGAGAGAGAGAGAGAGAGAGAGAGAGAGAGAGACAGACAGACAGAGAGAGAGAGAGAGAGAGAGAGACAGACAGACAGACAGAGAGAGAGAGAGAGAGAGAGAGAGAGAGAGAGAGAGAGAGAGAGAGAGAGACAGACAGAGAGAGAGAGAGAGAGAGAGAGAGAGAGAGAGAGAGAGAGACAGACAGAGAGAGAGAGAGAGACAGTGAGACAGAGAGACAATATTAACATGAGAGTAATGAACGAGGAGTGGGCCCCCCTGGAACACTCCCACAATATAAGCTTTAGCACCACCTCCTGCACGGGTTCGCCTCCATATTACTACCCCCATAAACACCACACACAGACAACATACAAAACATACAGTGACAGCGTATATAATACACCCCGCCCCCCCCCCCCCCCACTCCTGCAGCACCCCCTTCCCCCACAGGCAAGACTAAGGAAACTGACCCTTACCGCACTGGACAAGGCAGTGAACAATGGAGGGGACATGATCCCGACGTGGAAAATTCCTTGGGGAAATAATGTCAGCGATGATATTATTCTTATACAAGTTACTTAGACGTCAGAGGAACTTATTTATTAGATGAGCTCAACACAGGTAGACGAAGAAGTGTGTGAGGTTAATTAAATGCAATTATTTTTAATGTAAATATAAGAAAAACGAAGGTGCCGAGTACTTGCTCTAAGCCAATGTTGTTGGAAATGGTGGATAAGATGCCGACGGTGGACGGTCGTACTCTAGATGAGTACGCACGCACGCACGCACGCACGCACGCACTCACTTAAGCACGCACATACAAACACACGCACGCACATACAAACACACTCACGCACATACAAACACACGCACGCACATAAGCACGTACATACGCACGCAAGCGCGCAAACACACACACACACACACACCAGGTTGACCAAAGAGCCAAAGCTCAACCCCCGCAAGCACAATTAGGTGAGTACACACATAGGCAGAGGTTATTTCACCCTGATTCTCCTGTTCACCTAGTAGTAAACAGGTACCTTGGAGTTAGACAGCTGCTTCCGGCTGCTTCCTGGGGGGGGATATATATATAATAAGTTGATTGATTGAGAGTTGAGAGGCGGGACCAAAGAGCCAGAACTCAACCCCCGCAAGCACAACTAGGTGAGTACAGTCCTCGCAGCTGAACGGATAGCATTAGCGATGTAAGTCCACGGACCCCGAGATCGATTCTCAGCCGAGGCAGGTACCTATTTTACTGCTAGGTGAACATGTGCACCAGGTGAAAGGTGCATGATCAACCCACTTCTATTTCACCAGGAAAATCTGCCCATTTGTTTCTGCCTTGGCAGGGAAGCGAACCCGGGCCCTTAGGACTACAATCCCCGAGCGCTGTCCACTCAGCTCCAAGGACCCCATGTGTGTGTGTACTCACCTATTTGTGCTTGTGGGGGATGAGGTTTGGCTCTTTGGTCCCGAGTGTGTGTGTGTGTGTGTGTGTGTGTGTGTGTGTGTGTGTGTGTGTGTGTGTGTGTGTATACTCACCTAGTTGTACTCACCTAGTTGTGTCTGCAGAATCGAGCATTGACTCTTGGATCCCGCCTTTCGAGCATCGGTTGTTTACAGCAATGACTCCTGTCCCATTTCCCTATCATACCTGGATTTAAAATTATGAATAGTATTTGCTTCCACAACCTGTTCCTGAAGTGCATTCCATTTTCCCACTACTCTCACGCTAAAAGAAAACTTCCTAACATCTCTGTGGCTCATCTGAGTTTCCAGCTTCCATCCATGTCCCCTCGTTCTGTTACTATTCCGTGTGAACATTTCGTCTATGTCCACTCTGTCAATCCCTCTGAGTATTTTATACGTTCCTATCATGTCCCCCCTCTCCCTTCTTCTTTCTAGTGTCGAAAGGCACAGTTCCCTCAGGCGCTCCTCATACCCCATCCCTCGTAGCTGTGGGACGAGTCTCGTTGCAAACCTCTGAACCTTTTCCAGTTTCATTATATGCTTCTTCAGATGGGGACTCCATGATGAGGCGGCATACTCTAAGACTGGCCTCACGTAGGCAGTGTAAAGCGCCCTAAATGCTTCCTTACTTAGGTTTCTGAATGATGTTCTAACTTTTGCCAGTGTAGAGTACGCTGCTGTCGTTATCCTATTTATATGTGCCTCAGGAGATAGATTAGGTGTTACGTCCACACTCAGGTCTCTTTCACGCGTCGTCACAGGTAGGCTGTTCCCCTTCATTGTGTACTGTCCCTTTGGTCTCCTATCTCCTTGTCCCATTTCCATAACTTTACATTTGCTCGTGTTGAATTCCAGTAGCCATTTCTCTGACCATCTCTGCATCCTGTTCAGGTCCTCTTGGAGGATCCTGCAATCCTCATCTGTCACAACTCTTCTCATCAACTTTGCGTCATCCGCAAACATCGACATGTAGGACTCTACGCCTGTAAACATGTCGTTAACATACAAGAAATAGAATTGGTCCCAGCACCGATCCTTGTGGTACTCCACTTGTTACTGTTCGCCAGTCCGACTTCTCGCCCCTTACCGTAACTCTTTGGCTCCTTCCTGTTAGGTAGTTCCTTATATAGGACCTTTTCCCCCACCCCCGCATGCCTCTCGAGCTTGAACAGCAGTCTCATGTGCGGTACTGTATCAAAGGCTTTTTGGCAGTCCAGAAATATGCAGTCTGCCCAACCATCTCTGTCCTGTCTTATCCTCGTTATTTTATCATAGAATTACAGAAGGTTTGTTAGGCACGATTTCCCTGTCCAGAACCCATGTTGATGTTTGTTCACAAACCTAATGTTCTCCAGGTGTGCAACCAGTCGTATCCTAATTATTCTTTCCAGTATTTTACAGGGGATGATTGTCAGTGATACAGGTCTATAGTTAAGTGCCTCCTCCCTATCGCCTCTCTTGAAGATCGGCACGACATTTGCCTTCTTCCAGCAATTGGGCAATTCTCCCAACATAAGTGACTCATTAAAGATCATTGCCAGAGGCACGCTGAGGGCCTGCGCTGCTTCTTTTAGTATCCACGGTGATACTTTGTCTGGTCCAACTGCTTTAGTTGCATCTAGAGTTGTCAACTGTTTCATTACCTCCTCTGCTGTCACCTCTATATCTGATAGTCTTTCATCAATGGTAACCCCTTCCAACAATGGGAGCTGCTCAGGCTCGGTTGTGAACACTCCATGGAAACTGGCATTCAGTGCCTCGCAGATTTCCTTGTCACTTTCAGTATATGCCCCCTCTGTCTTCCTTAGTCTTGTCACCTGGTCGTTCACCGACATTTTTCTTCTTATATGACTGTGTAGTAACTTTGGTTGTTTTTTCGCTTTGATTGCAATATCGTTCTCATAGTCCCTTTCCGATGTTCGTCTTATGTTAATGTAATCGTTCCTAGCTCTGTTGTATCTGATCCTGTTGTCCTCTGTTCTTTGTCTTCTGTACTTCCTCCACTCCCGCCTGCTGGCCATTTTTGCTTCCTGACACTGTCTATTAAACCGATACTGTGTGTGTGTGTGTGTGTGTGTGTGTGTGTGTGTGTGTGTGTGTGTGTGTGTGTGTGTGTGTGTGTGTGTGTGTGTGTGTGAGTGTGTGGTCAATTACCTAAGTGTAATTACCTAAGTGTAATTACCTAAGTGTAGTTACAGGATGAGAGCTACGCTCGTGGTGTCCCGTCTTCCCGACACTCTTTGTCATATAACGCTTTGAAACTACTGACGGTCTTGGCCTCCACCACCTTCTCACCTAACTTGTTCCAACCGTCTACCACTCTGTTTGCGAAAGTGAATTTTCTTATATTCCTTCGGCATCTGTGTTTAGCTAGTTTAAATCTATGACCTCTTGTTCTTAAAGTTCCAGGTCTCAGGAAATCTTCCCTATCGATTTTATCAATTTCTGTTACTATTTTGTATGTAGTGATTATATCACCTCTTTTTCTTCTGTCTTCTAGTAGTGGCATATTTAATGCCTCTAACCTCTCCTCGTAGCTCTTGCCCTTCAGTTCTGGGAGCCACTTAGTAGCATGTCTTGGCACCTTTCCCAGTTTGTTGATGTGCTTCTTAAGATATGGGCACCACACAACTGCTGCATATTCTAGCTTTGGCCTAACAAAAGTCGTGAACAATTTCTTTAGTATGTGCGTGCGTGTGAGACATTATATCTCCTAGATATAGTTGTCACTGTAAGAGACCAACAGGTCTTGTGTTAACACATTAAACACCCGACGGTTAGAAAGGCGGAGTCCAAGAGCTAACAACCCGATCCTGCAGGCACACACACACACACACACACAGTAAACACATTCTTAATAATTCCGTAACATATATACCCACACAAGTCTGAATCATTGGGCACAACTTGGACTCCCTTCAAGGGGACGACGTGCGTCGGAAGGGCCTCTTGTGGAGGACCACGTGTGGAGGGCCTCTTGTGGAGGACCACGTGTGGAGGGCCTCTTGTGGAGGACCACGTGTGGAGGGCCTCTTGTGGAGGACCACGTGTGGAGGACCACGTGTGGAGGACCACGTGTGGAGGGCCTCTTGTGGAGGACCACGTGTGGAGGGCCTCTTGTGGAGGACCACGTGTGGAGGACCACGTGTGGAGGGCCTCTTGTGGAGGACCACGTGTGGAGGACCACGTGTGGAGGACCACGTGTGGAGGGCCTCTTGTGGAGGACCACGTGTGGAGGGCCTCTTGTGGAGGACCACGTGTGGAGGGCCTCTTGTGGAGGACCACGTGTGGAGGACCACGTGTGGAGGACCACGTGTGGAGGGCATCTTGTGGAGGACCACGTGTGGAGGGCATCTTGTGGAGGACCACGTGTGGAGGGCCTCTTGTGGAGGACCACGTGTGGAGGGCCTCTTGTGGAGGACCACGTGTGGAGGGCCTCTTGTGGAGGACCACGTGTGGAGGGCCTCTTGTGGAGGACCACGTGTGGAGGACCACGTGTGGAGGACCACGTGTGGAGGGCCTCTTGTGGAGGACCACGTGTGGAGGGCCTCTTGTGGAGGACCACGTGTGGAGGGCCTCTTGTGGAGGACCACGTGTGGAGGATTACGTGTTGAGGGCCTTTTCTGGAGGACCACGTGTGGAGGACCACGTGTGGAGGACCACGTGTGGAGGGCCTTTTGTGGAGGACCACGTGTGGAGGACCACGTGTGGAGGATTACGTGTTGAGGGCCTTTTGTGGAGGACCACGTGTGGAGGACCACGTGTGGAGGATTACGTGTTGAGGGCCTTTTGTGGAGGACCACGTGTGGAGGACCACGTGTGGAGGACCACGTGTGGAGGGCCTCTTGTGGAGGACCACGTGTGGAGGGCCTTTTGTGGAGGACCACGTGTGGAGGACCACGTGTGGAGGACCACGTGTGGAGGATTACGTGTTGAGGGCCTTTTGTGGAGGACCACGTGTGGAGGGCCTCTTGTGGAGGGCCTCTCGTGGAGGGCCTCTCGTGGAAGGCTTCAGGAAGCCGGGACAACTCCCTCCGGCTTCAGCAAATCTCTTTATAACGACCACATCACTAATGCGCTCCAGGCGACCCCAATACTGTTGTGGAAACAGCGGAAGAGCGGCTTCCGCGGCGCTGTGTTTATGTCTCCGTCAGCGGTGGTGTTATACGAACTGTCAGCACTCAAGACGAGAGTCATGGTCAACATTGGTGGTCAGTATACTGGACAATATTCGTGACCCCATCATTCTTTTATCCTTACCCTCCGTCCCATCCCAAATCCTTATCCTGACCCCTTCCCAGTGCTATAGTCGTAATGGCTTGGCCCTTTCCCCTCATAATTCCTTCCCTTCCCTTCTCCTACCCGGTATAAATATTACAATACTGATATCAAAAGCAAAAATGATCAGACCCGCCTCAAGCCAGGTGAAATTTTCCTTACAATAGACTCCAAAAGAAATTTTTTTAGGACTAAAATTAAAAGTCTGTCCTTTAAAAGTTTGTGAGACGATAGAAAACGGAAGACAACCTCCGTTTTCTTTGGAAGATTTCAAAGATTTGGGGAACTCCTTCATGTTGACAAAAAACATATCCTCCGTGTTTTGTGATGGTTTTATCTTAGCGTTTGAGCCGCCGTGTGATGGTCGAGGATGTATACAATTTTTGGAATATATATTTTAGACCGCATAATGTAAGAGTTCTGGAGAATTTTGGTTCAGGGAATGACCGGAGAGAGTTTAACAAACGAACTAGTTTTACACGCAGACGGAAATCACACAAGCGTCTCTGTAAGTCTTCTGAAAGCACGTTCTAACGGCCAGAATATGTCTGACTAACGTTGAATTAACGTAGAAGCGTTGATTTAATGTAGCACCTACGTCGTTTGCCTAAATTTACCTGTGGGTGTAGGGTGGTAGGGGATAATTGGACTTTTTTCCACAAAATGGACTTTTGCATCAATTGAGAAATGAGACCAATGAGGAGGTCGACCTCGGGAGGGATCTTGCCCCACAGGGCTGCAGTGTTGCGGCTGGTGGCAGGTCACCGCTATTTTCAATATCCAATCAAATTGCAAGTCACCACTCTATGCAATATTGCATACAATTGAAAGGCACCATTATTACTAATGATGCATGTATTAAATCTCCTTTTAAAGCTCCAATCCATTTTTAAATCTCCTATCCATTCCAGGTCATCAACCATTCCAGGTCATCAACCATTCCAGGTCATCAACCATTGCGAGTTACTACTAATATCAAGTTACCAATTACTTTTGAAAGGCAGCCAAACCATTTCATCAACCGGTGTGTTTGGGAATTCAGGAACAGCTGTGTGTAATTTGGAATATTCCCCCCCCCCCACGTTTGACCCAACCACATGGGCTGGACGGTAGAGCGACGGTCTCGCGTCATGCAGGTCGGCGTTCAATCCCCGACCGTCCAAGTGGTTGGGGCACCATTCCTTTCCCCCGTCCCATCCCAAATCCTTATCCTGACCCCTTCCCAGTGCTATATAGTCGTAATGGCTTGGCGCTTTTCCTTGATAATTCCTTCCTTCCTTCCTTTCCCCCCCCCCCACGTGACCAGAGGGAGGATGAGGGGGGGGGGAGATCTCACATGACGTAGCCACAACGTTGTTTCTTCGTAGCTAAAACGTAAACTAACGTTGTTAAAACGTTATATATCATTTTTTGGCGGGCGGTCTCGTCCCTGTTGACACAGAGACCAAAGAGACACGGGACCAAAGAGCCAAAGCTCAACCCCCGCAAGCTTCACCTATTGTACTCATCTAATTGTACTCACAATTAGGTGAGTACAATATTTACGAGTAACGTTAATTCAACGTTGAATCCACGTTATTGTTAGGATTGAAGGGGTTTTGTAGGATTGAGTACTACCTAGCTTAGGTTCATACTATGTGTTGATGCTACTTCCATTTATAAATACTGTAAATAATGAATACATGGCACCTATACCGGTGACGTCATTAACTGTTTGTAAACAAACGCCATGCTGTCAACACCCGCGTTGCTCCCTGTTCAAACTTAACACTTATCAACGTTGTATAAACGTTATCAACGTTGTATTAACGTTATCAACGTTGTATAAACGTTATCAACGTTGTATAAACGTTATCAACGTTGAATCAACAAGGAGTATACCTCACTGTACGTAAAGATATGTCATGTTAACTTGGATTAGATTAGATTAATCCGGGTCCACCGATGATTTTAACAGTTAAAGTACCCGAACAGCTGGCAACACCGCCGGTGACGTCACTAACACATGAATCACGCTGTTATCTAGCTGATTTGACAACTTTGATTGGTCACACCCTTATCTTGAGAAGATTTCGGGGCTTAGCGTCCCCGCGGCCCGGTCCTCAACCAGGCCTCCTTTTAATTACACCCCCCCAGGAATCCCTTTGTTTCCGCCTCCGCCGGTGATCGAACCCGGAACCTTTGGACTACGAATCCCGAGCGCTGCCCACTCAACCGTCAGGCCCCCTTAAGTTAACTTTAATAACAAAAACTTCAACGCATTATACACCAATATAAAAATAATTCCGCGATCCTTAGCGCGAAATCGCGCGAATATTGGCGAGATAGTTATCAGCCAGTAGGCGCCCACCTGAGAGTAATCACCGGTACGGGTTCCAATATACTGCGTTATTAGGGCGTCTGTCACACGTTCTCGTTGTTAGTGAGTGTGTCCTGCACTCTCTCGTTGTTGGTGAGTGTGTCCTGCACTCTCTCGTTGTTGGTGAGTGTGTCCTGCACTCTCTCGTTGTTGGTGAGTGTGTCCTGCACTCTCTCGTTGTTGGTGAGTGTGTCCTGCACTCTCTCGTTGTTGGTGAGTGTCTCCTGCACTCTCTCGTTGTTGGTGAGTGTCTCCTGCACTCTCTCGTTGTTGGTGAGTGTGTCCTGCACTCTCTCGTTGTTGGTGAGTGTCTCCAGCACTCTCACGTTGTTGGTGAGTGTGTCCTGCACTCTCTCGTTGTTGGTGAGTGTGTCCTGCACTCTCTCGTTGTTGGTGAGTGTGTCCTGCACTCTCTCGTTGTTGGTGAGTGTGTCCTGCACTCTCTCGTTGTTGGTGAGTGTCTCCTGCACTCTCTCGTTGTTGGTGAGTGTGTCCTGCACTCTCTCGTTGTTGGTGAGTGTCTCCAGCACTCTCACGTTGTTGGTGAGTGTGTCCTGCACTCTCTCGTTGTTGGTGAGTGTGTCCTGCACTCTCACGTTGTTGGTGAGTGTGTCCTGCACTCTCTCGTTGTTGGTGAGTGTGTCCTGCACTCTCTCGTTGTTGGTGAGTGTCTCCTGCACTCTCTCGTTGTTGGTGAGTGTGTCCTGCACTCTCTCGTTGTTGGTGAGTGTGTCCTGCACTCTCTCGTTGTTGGTGAGTGTCTCCTGCACTCTCTCGTTGTTGGTGAGTGTGTCCTGCACTCTCTCGTTGTTGGTGAGTGTGTCCTGCACTCTCTCGTTGTTGGTGAGTGTGTCCTGCACTCTCTCGTTGTTGGTGAGTGTGTCCTGCACTCTCTCGTTGTTAGTGAGTGTGTCCTGCACTCTCTCGTTGTTGGTGAGTGTGTCCTGCACTCTCTCGTTGTTGGTGAGTGTCTCCTGCACTCAATATGTCAATATAACAGCGGTATATTCCACCATATATGATGTACAGTATATAATACCAGATATATACTGTTATATACTCCAACTGCTGGACAGAACCATCTTCACCAACAGCTGGACAGAACCATCTTCACCAACAGCTGGACAGAACCATCTTCACCAACAGCTGGACAGAACCATCTTCACCAACAGCTGGACAGAACCATCTTCACCAACAGCTGGACAGAACCATCTTCACCAACAGCTGGACAGATCCATCATCACCAACAGCTGGACAGAACCATCTTCACCAACAGCTGGACAGAACCATCTTCACCAACAGCTGGACAGAACCATCTTCACCAACAGCTGGACAGAACCATCTTCACCAACAGCTGGACAGAACCATCTTCACCAACAGCTGGACAGAACCATCTTCACCAACAGCTGGACAGAACCATCTTCACCAACAGCTGGACGGAACCATCTTCACCAACAGCTGGACAGAACCATCTTCACCAACAGCTGGACAGAACCATCATCACCAACAGCTGGACAGAACCATCTTCACCAACAGCTGGACAGAACCATCTTCACCAACAGCTGGACAGAACCATCTTCACCAACAGCTGGACAGAACCATCTTCACCAACAGCTGGACAGAACCATCTTCACCAACAGCTGGACAGAACCATCTTCACCAACAGCTGGACAGAACCATCTTCACCAACAGCTGGACAGAACCATCATCACCAACAGCTGGACAGAACCATCTTCACCAACAGCTGGACAGAACCATCTTCACCAACAGCTGGACAGAACCATCTTCACCAACAGCTGGACAGAACCATCTTCACCAACAGCTGGACAGAACCATCTTCACCAACAGCTGGACAGAACCATCTTCACCAACAGCTGGACAGAACCATCTTCACCAACAGCTGGACGGAACCATCTTCACCAACAGCTGGACAGAACCATCTTCACCAACAGCTGGACAGAACCATCTTCACCAACAGCTGGACAGAACCATCTTCACCAACAGCTGGACAGAACCATCTTCACCAAATGGACAGAACCATCTTCACCAACAGCTGGACAGAACCATCTTCACCAACAGCTGGACAGAACCATCTTCACCAACAGCTGGACAGAACCATCTTCACCAACAGCTGGACAGAACCATCTTCACCAACAGCTGGACAGAACCATCATCACCAACAGCTGGACAGAACCATCTTCACCAACAGCTGGACAGAACCATCTTCACCAACAGCTGGACAGAACCATCTTCACCAACAGCTGGACAGAACCATCTTCACCAACAGCTGGACAGAACCATCTTCACCAACAGCTGGACAGAACCATCTTCACCAACAGCTGGACAGAACCTTCTTCACCAACAGCTGGACAGAACTATCTTCACCAACAGCTGGACAGAACCATCTTCACCAACAGCTGGACAGAACCATCTTCACCAACAGCTGGACAGAACCATCTTCACCAACAGCTGGACAGAACCATCTTCACCAACAGCTGGACAGAACCATCTTCACCAACAGCTGGACAGAACCATCTTCACCAACAGCTGGACAGAACCATCTTCACCAACAGCTGGACAGAACCATCTTCACCAACAGCTGGACAGAACCATCTTCACCAACAGCTGGACAGAACCATCTTCACCAACAGCTGGACAGAACCATCTTCACCAACAGCTGGACAGAACCATCTTCACCAACAGCTGGACAGAACCATCATCACCAACAGCTGGACAGAACCATCTTCACCAACAGCTGGACAGAACCATCTTCACCAACAGCTGGACAGAACCATCTTCACCAACAGCTGGACAGAACCATCTTCACCAACAGCTGGACAGAACCATCTTCACCAACAGCTGGACAGAACCATCTTCACCAACAGCTGGACAGAACCATCTTCACCAACAGCTGGACAGAACCATCTTCACCAACAGCTGGACAGAACCATCTTCACCAACAGCTGGACAGAACCATCTTCACCAACAGCTGGACAGAACCATCTTCACCAACAGCTGGACAGAACCATCTTCACCAAATGGACAGAACCATCTTCACCAACAGCTGGACAGAACCATCTTCACCAACAGCTGGACAGAACCATCTTCACCAACAGCTGGACAGAACCATCTGGACAGAACCATCTTCACCAACAGCTGGACAGAACCATCATCACCAACAGCTGGACAGAACCATCTTCACCAACAGCTGGACAGAACCATCTTCACCAACAGCTGGACAGAACCATCTTCACCAACAGCTGGACAGAACCATCTTCACCAACAGCTGGACAGAACCTTCTTCACCAACAGCTGGACAGAACTATCTTCACCAACAGCTGGACAGAACCATCTTCACCAACAGCTGGACAGAACCATCTTCACCAACAGCTGGACAGAACCATCTTCACCAACAGCTGGACAGAACCATCTTCACCAACAGCTGGACAGAACCATCTTCACCAACAGCTGGACAGAACCATCATCACCAACAGCTGGACAGAACCATCTTCACCATCAGCTGGACAGAACCATCTTCACCAACAGCTGGACAGAACCATCTTCACCAACAGCTGGACAGAACCATCTTCACCAACAGCTGGACAGAACCATCTTCACCAACAGCTGGACAGAACCATCTTCACCAACAGCTGGACAGAACCATCTTCACCAACAGCTGGACATATCCAACTTCACCAACAGCTGGACAGAACCATCATCACCAACAGCTGGACAGAACCATCTTCACCATCAGCTGGACAGAACCATCTTCACCAACAGCTGGACAGAACCATCTTCACCAACAGCTGGACAGAACCATCTTCACCAACAGCTGGACAGAACCATCTTCACCAACAGCTGGACAGAACCATCTTCACCAACAGCTGGACAGAACCATCTTCACCAACAGCTGGACATATCCAACTTCACCAACAGCTGGACAGAACCATCTTCACTAACGTTGCAGACGCTGGAAATGAGCAATGATTGGGGAAGGTCCCTAATCACGAGGCGCTGCTCCATAATTACCAGAAGGAGCGTCCGTCCAGGAGATTAGAGTCGCCTGCTGCCGGAAATTGGCCAATCCGCACCTCTGCATCTTGGAGCAGCTGACGTCTCGCTGCTAATCACCACCTACACCCTATATGGACCACCAGCACCCACCTACACCCTATATGAACCACCAGCACCCACCTACACCCTATATGGACCACCAGCACCCACCTACACCCTATATGAACCACCAGCACCCACCTACACCCTATATGGACCACCAGCACCCACCTACACCCTATATGAACCACCAGCACCCACCTACACCCTATATGGACCACCAGCACCCACCTACACCCACCTACACCCTATATGGACCACCAGCACCCACCTACACCCTATATGGACCACCAGCACCCACCTACACCCACCTACACCCTATATGGACCACCAGCACCCACCTACACCCTATATGAACCACCAGCACCCACCTACACCCTATATGTACCACCAGCACCCACCTACACCCTATATGAACCACCAGCACCCACCTACACCCTATATGAACCACCAGCATCCACCTACACCCTATATGAACCACCAGCACCCACCTACACCCTATATGAACCACCAGCACCCACCTACACCCTATATGGACCACCAGCACCCACCTACACCCTATATGGACCACCAGCACCCACCTACACCCTATATGAACCACCAGCACCCACCTACACCCTATATGTACCACCAGCACCCACCTACACCCTATATGAACCACCAGCACCCACCTACACCCTATATGAACCACCAGCACCCACCTACACCCTATATGAACCACCAGCACCCACCTACACCCTATATGTACCCCCAGCACCCACCTACACCCTATATGTACCACCAGCACCCACCTACACCCTATATGAACCACCAGCACCCACCTACACCCTATATGAACCACCAGCACCCACCTACACCCTATATGAACCACCTACACCCTCCTACATCCTATATGTACCCCCAGCACCCACCTACACCCTATATGAACCACCAGCACCCACCTACACCCTATATGAACCACCAGCACCCACCTACACCCTATATGAACCACCAGCACCCACCTACACCCTATATGTACCCCCAGCACCCACCTACACCCTATATGAACCACCAGCACCCACCTACACCCTATATGAACCACCAGCACCCACCTACACCCTATATGAACCACCAGCACCCACCTACACCCTATATGTACCCCCAGCACCCACCTACACCCTATATGAACCACCAGCACCCACCTACACCCTATATGAACCACCAGCACCCACCTACACCCTATATGAACCACCAGCACCCACCTACACCCTATATGAACCACCTACACCCTCCTACATCCTATATGAACCACCTACACCCTCCTACATCCTATATGAACCACCTACACCCTCCTACATCCTATATGAACCACCTACACCCTCCTACACCCTATATGAACCACCAGCACCCTCCTACATCCTATATGGACCACCAGCACCCACCTACACCCTATATGAACCACCAGCACCCACCTACACCCTATATGTACCACCAGCATCCACCTACACCCTATATGTACCACCAGCACCCACCTACACCCTATATGAACCACCAGCACCCACCTACACCCTATATGAATCACCTACACCCTCCTACATCCTATATGAACCAACTACACCCTCCTACACCCTATATGAACCACCAGCACCCACCTACACCCTATATGAACCACCAGCACCCACCTACACCCTATATGAACCACCTACACCCTCCTACACCCTATATGAACCACCAGCACCCACCTACACCCTATATGAACCACCTACACCCTCCTACATCCTATATGGACCACCTGCACCCTCCTACACCCTATATGAACCACCAGCACCCACCTACACCCTATATGGACCACCTGCACCCTCCTACACCCTATATGAACCAC